CGATACGGCCTTGTCTAACACTATATGCCACTGAATACTAATTTATTGTCAATGTAATGTGTTTCAGTCCATTCATTTGACCAGTTTCGTGATTTTGGCAGCAATAGCCACCGTGTTTGGTGTCCCAGTAAACTCAGATTGCAATTGCAATTTGATAACAGATAAAAGATACCCACTGACCGAGCCAATAGTCAAGTACCGCATAGGTATCGTCAGCGACTTGGACGAAAAATCGAAGAGCTCAATAGAATCTTCTACATGGATCAGTTATTTCAAAAAGGGCTACTTGACTTACAAACCAGACACCAAAGAAGTATTCATTGAATGGGATAATTCCCCGATTCCTGATCTGCTCAAATCGCACGATTCAGTGAACGACCGAGGCGCAGAGCTATCAGAGTTGGTTACCTATGATGCAAAGCTAATAACAGTAGACGACAAAACTGGATGGGTTTATTTGATCGAAAAAAACAATAATTTGACAAATTGGGTGAAGCTTAATAACGGCGATGGCAACACCAATAAAGGTAATAATAATAGATACCGAGTGAATCGTTTAACGCGTAAGACACACATCATTAACTTAATAATAATGAATGTTAGGCATTGAAAATATTTTCATCTGACATAATATTTAAAAAGTTTAAAAATAACGTTTTCCTAAAAACATAATTGTATTATTTAACATCGACGCAATTTATGAAATTGTATATTTTTTTTAATGAAAACACGAATTTCTTATTCAAAAGTAGATTATTTTTTTGTACTTTAAAAACTGAATTTCTGAGGAATGAATATTATACAAGTTAACACTTTAGATCAGTAGTTCTCAACCGGTGTGCCACGAGAAATATCTGAAATTTGTAATCATGCTGTTAAAAAACATTGAAAACAGTACTTTATTTCATTACATTTGTCTTGAGTGTGCCGTAAAACTTGTGATGTATAATAGTGTGCCATGTGCCATGAACCAAAAAAGTTTGAGAACCACTGATTTAGATAAAAGGAGTGAAGTGGTACAACTACAGTGATGCTTTTCTACTCCACAAAATGTTAGTTAATCACTCCACTTATCTTAACTTTTAATTTTTAAACACTAAGCTAGTAACTTATAAGCTACTTGTCCGAAATTGTATTTCGACAAACACTCCAAACAATATCCTGCTTAGAAATATGATATTAAAAATCTATGTTCTCATTCAAAAGAGTAAAACACTTAACACATACGAGAAAGAAATAAAACATGATATTATTGTATCTAAAAATGTTATTTTATAACGAATTGAAAATTATATAAGAGAAATAGTTTTATAAACGTTAGTAATTTCCGAAATAAAAAAATTCTTAAGTTAAACGAATTAATCAGTATAATACACACCTACGTTAATATTTAACAAAATAGTATTGACAATTGGTTATTAAAATAATTCTAAACATTTAATGTAATTTGCATGTACACATTTTTAATCAAAATGTGAAATTTCAAATTAAATTTTTGTTTGTAGATGATATTATAGTCATGTTACATCTCATATTTTAGTGTATTAAAACAGCACCATAATATCTTCCTTTTTTCATAACTGTTGGTGCAATTATAGAAAACATTAAAACAATTTTATGTTGGATATAGGGTATTAGGGTTGGATATATTTATTAAATTACTCATACTTGAGATATGGTTATTCCAGCTTTGCTTGGACATAATATTTAAAATTAAAACAATAAAAATTAAAATAAATAAATTGTACCGAGTCTATTATAAATATTTAATATTCCTAAAATAAAAACATTGCTCTGATCGTGTTCATTGAACATGAGATTTTTCKTTTTTACTTATAGGTACGTACTTAGTTGGCTTTATTTTGTTCGATTTTGTTTTATTAGTTTAATTTKTATGGTACAAAAAAACTGTCTAAAAAAAAAACCCGTTAACCCTTTAATAATTATTATTACACGTCTGATTTGTAAAATACTCAGTGCGTGACACGGTAAAACTACTAAAACTTTACGAAGGTACATGTCGCAGAAATGAAGAACGAATGGGCCACCGTCAAGGACTCGAAACTCTACGTGGGTTCACATGGCAGGGAATTAGTTAACGGTCAGGACATTGATTATTCGTATATGTGGGTGAAGACCATCGACAAGTTAGGCAATGTGGAGCACCTGAACTGGAAGGATAACTTCATCAAAATTCGGAAAGCCGTAAATATAGAATACCCGGGATACATGGCTCACGAGGCGGTCGAATGGAGTGATATTCATAAACGATGGTTCTTTTTGCCGAGAAAAATATCGGAGGAACAATTCGATGATTCGGCCGACGAACAAAAGGGCACGAATGTACTGTTATCAGCCACATCGGATTTCGAAGATATTAAGGTGAACGAAATAGTAGTATGACTGTATGACATGTTACATTTACCTAGATATATAATATGTGATTTAAGTCGTATACATCATTAGAAATTGCCAGTTTATATTTTCCATATTGGAACTAAGTCAAACATTCAGTGAAATATTCATCAAATTCGATTCAAAATATAGGCATTTTAAACAATTCACTTAAAACGATATTAGACTTTAAGTGTATTGAACTGTAAAAGTATTCTATATAATATGTATTAAAAAAATTAATTTTTTCGCATTTGAAAATGATATAATAACTTGATTACAATATAATATATGTAATTATCTTGAATTCTGGTACCTAAAATTAATAATACCTTGGATGGAATATAGCACACGTATATAAGGATACTGAATTGGTTCCATTTCTTCTGTAGGGGTGGTAAAATATTATAAACATGGTGCCTAGTTTAGTAATTTCTACATGGTACATTGATTATACTCTTAAATTTTAGTCATTAAAACCATATTCTTCAGTTTCAAAAACATTTCAATCAGATTTTCCAGCTTTGGTCCTCTATTTATAACCACTTAGGCACTCATTTTGGGTAAACGGTCTCCATACCCAACTCAACTGTTGAAATGGAAAAACTAACCAATTTTTGATATGCCATCTCTATAGGCTACTTTTCCGACAAGTCATTCGTCAACTGCTAAAATGTTTTCCCGAAAAGGTCAAAAGTTACACAAAGACTTAATGAAACATCTCCAAAAGCTAATTTAATCGATTCAAAAGTCCCAGTATAGCATCATTTTTGCCAATTAAAAATAAGATTTAATACACGTTTGTTTCCTGTTTTGTCCATTGGTGAAATCACGTTTTTCTTCAAAATTTGAACGCACAAAGTCAATGATTGATTAGATATACCTACTTTAACCGTATTTTAAAATACTGAAATTTGTTTCTAGTTTACTTCGGCATAATAATATCCAGTGGCGTATTTTGGGTGATTTCTCGGGGGGTGTCCACATTTATTGAACCTCACAAACAAAATTTTTAGTATTATTTACTAATGTAAAAAGACATTGAATTAATTTTTAACAAATTAATATGTTAGGAATTGACAAGAAGTTTTACATTTGATAAAAATAGTATACTATAAAATAAGTGACAACACTAATGTCCAATA